TCTTTCCCTGTAATCATTCTTTTTTTCCTGCATTGCTGTTAGAGCTGTTGAGCAGCTTTAGATTTCTCCCTCAGATGGATGAAGAGTGCAACACTTCAGGTGGGGTTTGTTGCTTGGTTCCAGTAATGAGCATAGCTGAGGGTGTGTATCTGCAGTTTCCTTTGACTTCACCAGAAAGGTCTCCAGAGGAATGGGAAACATTCACCCCATTGCTGTTTTTTGCGGAAGCTCTGGCAGATCCGTGCAGAAACATTGCTACAGCCTCCTTGCTGCAGCATGAGTAATGTGACAACACCGAAATCAGAACCATTCTGACAGCACCTAGCGAACGAGGGAAATGTGTGGGAAGGTACTGGCAAAGATTAAAATGGTGTAGTATGTGTGTTAATTTCTAGACAAAACTGATTGAGGTAGGAGAGCCTGAGAAGAGGTGTCCTTGGCCTGTAATTCAGCATTTAAGAAAAGTTCTTACTGTTATGAATGGTTCTAGTAGGCTGTGTACACCTTCAGTACACAGTGCAAGAGACAAATGAAACAGACCTGCTGTCTGGGCTCTTCTGCCTCCTGTGAGTTACTGCCTGGTGTACCCAGCCTGAGCCCCTTGTGCTGCCCAGCAGCCCAGGAACTGGGATGCTCTCACTGTTATCCATGCTGCTGTCTGAAGGAAGAGCTGCCTCCTCACAGACTGTAGGCAATGTGGGTGGCTGGTGCGCTGGCATGTTTTCATATCCAGGCTCAAGTCCTCCATAGTTAGGAGAAACCTATCTTTACAGCCCAAGAATTTGTACCAGCCAGTCTCATGTCCAAGCAGATCCTGTAACTGCCCTGACATACAAGTATGCTATAGGCCAAAGCAAACTACTTCAAGAAGTATAGTGACTCAAACCCACAGTCTGGCTGAATTTAGGGAGGTGGGGTGGAAGGGGATGTTGTACCCGTGGGCCTCCAGAGACACTTCAGACATGGGGATCAGATGGTTGTGGATGTGAGCTGATGTTAGTTAATACCCTCAAGTGCTGCTGCATCTCTTTACTTTTTGAGTTATTTTTCTTGTCTAGCCTCACAGCAGGGGTTAACGCCAACTTCATTCCTGATAGCCACTAGCAGTTAAAAAAAAGTGACGGTATCCGGGGTGCAGGACATGGATGCCTCTGCATATGCAGAGAAGCTACTAATTTGCAGCCAATTCTGTGGAAAACAGGAGAGGTGTGATACAGGAGAGCAAGGAGGCTGGCAATGAAGAGCAGTTACACCAAAGCGCTGAGCAGCCTTTGTGGTTGGAGCTGCGGGTGCCTGCGGTGGATGGCTGCACCGGACGGCTGCGTGGAATGC